CAACTGTCTGGCGAGTTGATTAACTACAGCCACTCTAGGCGCGTTCGAGTTCATCTCTTTTTCAACGCCATCGTAGCGGTGTTTCATGATTTCCATGTCCTCAACGTTCTTTAATTTACCTTCAACGGTTGACTTCAGGTCTTCAAATTTCTTAGCCATTTTATCTCTCATTTCGTTCATCACTTTCTTACTATTGGCCATTTCGGATGAAATGCTGGATAGCATCTCTTTGTTGTTGTGTTCCATTTTGTCCATTTTTTCGTCCATTTTCCTACTGTTGTCATCCTTTTTCCTACTGTTGTCTTCCATTTTGTCGCTCATCTGCATGAGCAGTGCAATCAAACTGGGGTCAAAATGAGTGTGTAATTGTAATTGTAAAAAATGTAAATCTGTCCCAACTGTCCTCCAAAAGCCCCTGTTAAAGGTTATGTATCAATGATCAATATAGATCCAATAAAATACAGTTAAGTTGTTAAATCGCAATAAGTGTTCGAAGCTGTGGCGAATTTTTCTCTGGGGGGGATGGTGAGGTCATAAAAAAGATACTTCGTTGTATCTACAAAACGTAAGAATCATTCAAGTTCTCTGGATGTAATTAACATGATTTTTAAATAAATTATTATTAAAGTCAATTCAGATTTTAGAGTTGTGATTATGAAATAAAAATTATTCTATTTAGTTTTTTTCGGTAGCAAAAATTATTCTATTTAGTCTGGGGGGTCTGTGATCTCATAGCCCCTTCCGGATTATTTGTAAACATAATTCGCGATTATGAGGACATTAATTGACATTTCGAAAAAGGACGTTCCACAGTCAGCAAATCCTGTTGAATTTACCGTTTGTCCTTTTGCTCGTTAGTCTATTTTATTCTCACTTTCTGTATGATTTCGTATTTACCGGAGTTTTTAATAATTACGAAGCAAAAGGTATTTCCGAAATGTTCATTAGGCAGATTACCTTGAAAACATTGTTGCCGTCTTTTTGATGTAGTTTTTGGCAAATTTCTCAGTTTTTAATAACAATTAATTTTGTAAACTATTTTTTCTGTACTCCTAAAAGACCACCAGACAGCACTTCCAGAGGATTGACGCCAATTTTGAAACACGCGGCATGTACTATATATCTCACAAACTTCTTTTACTTTGACAATTTAATTAATCTCTTTATAAATCCTGCTCTTCGGTTTTCCAAATCTCTCAGCTACTGTTTTTGTTCTCCATCCTTCCTCCATTAATGTAATTTTTCGAGATTTTTCAAATACTTTTGAATGTGCCATTTTGATAATAGGAGTATTTATTAGTATAGTCATTTATTATTATGATTCATTATGTCATTTAGACTAAGGTAGATGTAGGTAAAAAGTCAGATTGACACAATTATTTAATGGTCTACTTTTATGCGACGCCGACTGTACTTCTGTACGAAGTTAATGATCTTCCGCGGACCACTACAATTTGCCAAAGAAATGCCATCCCAAAACATTATTGAATGACTATGACCACGGAAAGCCAGTTGGGGAACCATATATGCTAAACTGTATCTTTCTCATAAAAGCTCACCAATCGCACAATTTTAAAACCCCTCTAACTTCAGCAGTAAATAAGACTTTCTTCCAGTCATCCAAATCCCAATCGACCTATTCTCGAGCAAACTCAAGACTAGCTTGATTGTGGGCCATGGTAAAGAGAGGATCTTTTGCGGGATGTTTTGCACTCAATCCGAATTCATTGAGCCTTCTTCTTACCATTTCGGAAAAAATTGCAATATTTCAGTCATTTTTAAGTCGATTTGTTAATAACTAATTTTCGGTAAGAGACCATTTCTTAAAGCTTGCAGTCGTATAAAACGATCGCCCACTTGGTTTGAAGATCTTGGTCGGTCTTGCCCTGGTCGTCTTGCACGGCAACCTGTATCCCTAAGACATCGACCAATGCTTGTTTGATGAACAACCTACCTTCGGGCAACCTCACATTTGGAATACCCTTCTTTCAACAAGGTGACAATTATGACTGCATCAAACACAATTCAAATTTTTCCTGGGGACATTTCAATCCGAATACACTTTAGTTATACACGCAAGTTAGGAAAAACGCAAGAAAATTAAACCAGTCTGAACAGTCTCACACTTGCTGAAAGCAATGATGAGATGTTGCAAATGACACAAAACACCTAGAAACTTGCATTGGTGAAATAAATATAAAAGAATAAAAAACAATTGGCAGTGTACAATATTACTATGGTTACGTTATTTTCCAACCAACTTGTTGAAAAAATTGGTTTATTCGAAAATGTATAGAAGGTGCGCTAATTTTGTCCATCAGCGTATATGAAAAATAAAATTTGATAATGGTTTCTGAGAAACAAAACGGTGCTACGCGAAAATATTTTTGGTTGTTTGAGATTATTTTAAATAGTTTCAAAAATTAATAAAAACGAAAATTAAGAAAAAAATTTTTTTCCAGACATTTTAAAAATGAAAATAAATACTTGTGTACTGAAAATGTTATTTACATGGCCAATGATTGAGCAACTTTTTCCCAATTTAACCGACTTTATCATCACGACATCGACTCGTCTTATCTTGGACACCCTTTATAAATATTAAAAAGTTTGAGCAAAATAATATTACGATTGTTTTTCTGGAAGCTCTTATTAGCATCTTATTAGCATAGGACATGAACATACGAGCAGAATCAGCATAGATGTGAGATATTACGTTGCTAAATATGTGCACTTTTCCCTCAATCTTTAATCACAATTTGCGATGACAAACTCTTTTCGATAACAGCTGCGTTGCTCTTCAAATTGCCAACGTCTGGTGAACATTATAGTAATTTTTGTAAGCATAACTTTAAGTTGCAAAAGTGTTGATTCAGATTATTTGCAATATCAAATATTTGTATTTTCATAAACCAGGGACGCTAACGATGAATATTTGTGAGTCTATTTCAAACGGCTCTTAATTAAAAAAAAAATTAAAAAGAAACACGAACATTCGTTACGCATTTCGATAAAACTTTTCAATAGTCAATTCATGTACGTATTTTAGAGAAGGAAATAAATCGATTACTAAGAACATTCAACTTCAGCCCAATTGAACACTACGGAAAAACTAAGTTAGAAGACACCCCAGAAGAACAACGGGTTTTAGTGGGCAATGCCTTTCGATCTGAAAAAAAACTGTTGCATCGATCTCCCGCAATTCAACAAATAATTTTCGATGATCATGACTATCAGCTACTTTCAATTGGTCTCAACGACATACCAGGGTACATGAATAATCATTATTATGCATTTTAGTATTTAAAATTGAATTTTAGAGCTGATCAGAGAATTCGCTACTTGGAAATTGCCTACGCAGCTCCTGAAGAGTTACTTGTACAATCTCGAATAGCTGTAGGAGTTTTAGGAGTAGAGCGAAAATACTTGGATGTAATGCTCAAACCTAGAAATATTTCTACGACGGTAAAGAGAACTAGCGTTATGAAAATCGGAGAGTTTAAGATCCCACCAAAATCGTCAAGCAAGTAGGTATTGTGGTGATATTAAGATACTTAAACTACGTTCCGCATTTTGCGAAATTTCAGACATCGGCTAATATCTGATACTCTTTCCAATTGCCCTTGCAAATATCAAGAAAGCCACGCTACCAAAACCGCTAGAGCTGCTCAGTGCAAAAAATGGAGACTCTATTTGGAAATGGGTGGCGTGATAACTAGTGAACTATCAGAAATGGGATCAGCTCACACTATTCAACCATCCTTGGGACCCTCCAGTATCTTAAGAAATTAGTTCGTTACCTCAACATAAAAAATTGTTATATGTACTTACCATTTTGTTTTGATGATTGTATTCCATGAGGAGCTACAGGATAAGGGCCTGTAGGAATCAAAGATCCGTGTCGGTTGATAGGAAGTTGTAGTCGCCCACAATTTGATAGTAATGATCTGTCTGAAGTCCCTGGATGAACAGTTAAATTCATTACACTGAGATCGGTAGACGAATTACCTAAAACATTCCATTAAAAACGCTAAAATAAATAATTTAAAATTTCAAAAAGATGGATTTTTTATGCTTGGTTCTGTTGATATGAATAACCAAGTCTATAAAGAGAAGTACAATAACTTCCGTTATTTTATAACTAGGTAGGTATACAGTGCAACCGATTTAGATGCGGGTCACTTAAGATCAAGTTCTTCTGTATAAGGTGGCAAAGATATTTTTAAGCAATTTTAGAATTAATTAACGTTAGTTTTCTGGAAGTAACCTCACATGTGACATGTGACCAACAAAACAACTACTAAACAACAAAACTAAATTATCAGTAAGCTGGAAAACGAGACAGTAACATAATTGAGTTAATCGTTCAATCAAATGCTCCCGTGTCTCCTGAATTATCTGTTAATCCACAGGCTCTACAAGAGCTCCAAATATTACCCTTATCGTAAAGGTTCAGAAGTCCTGTTAGATATTAAATGTATCATTGTTGATACTGAGGGGCTATGGGAATAAATTTTATTGTACTTGAATGTAAGAGAAGTGCTGCCGCAAAATTTTTTCAATTTACGAATTTGCTTATGGATACGCTTAGAAAATTTACTACACGTATGTCCTAAATACACTCACTTTCAAAGGTCTTGCACCCTCCCTGTATATACTAGGTACATTTAATTTATGCAAAATTGATTGATTGCTAAATAAAACATACTTGTTTACAAGTAAAAGAAATGAGGGAACTTCAAAAAAAATTTTTTAACCTTTTAAAATGGTGTGGCTATAAAAACTTCACCTTTATATTGGTTACTAGTAACCGGCATTAGTATCTAAATATTGCACGAATCGTGTAGCATGCCTAGAAACGAGCTGCTAGCTTTTGATAGGACTAGAATTATTGCTCTGTTTCAAGAACGTTTATCTAGGCATCACATTTCCAATAGGTTCAACTTTTTAAGTAGCACAGCTAGCAGGACAATTACAAGCTATAAAGATTCCGGTAAACTGAAAGCAGACCTGGGTGGTCGTCCTCGCGTTAGCACGACACGAGAAGATTATTTTCGAAGCTCTATTTCTGAATAATCAACCCGTAGGGAGCGCTCAGTCACCCTACCGGCAGTAAACTCTCAGTTCCAGGGAACGTCTGATATCCAGAACAACAATCCTCGGAAGACTTTTACAATCAAGATTGCGGTCCATAATGCTGTTAAGAGTTCCTCTGTCAACTAATCGCTACTGAATGGCCCGTTTAAAATGGGCACGAAATTATCAAAACTGGCGATTAGCAGAGTGGAGAAATGTACTCTTTACCGATGAATCGCGGTTTGGATTGGTGAGCGATGATTATCGAGCAAGAGTTTGGAGAGAAGCAGGACGCCGAAATAGGCTCCATGCAGCCGTTGCAGTTGCTCCATACCGCGGTGGAACGCAAATGTTTGGAAGGGGTATTATGTTCTATAGATGGAACCCACTTATTCACATATCGGGGTCGATAACAGGTGCATATTACCAAGCAAATGTTATTATTCATAGAATTATACCCTTACGTGATGAATTAGGGCACCAGTTTATCTTTATGGATGACAATGCCAGGCCACATCATACAAGTGGTGTTCAAGAAGTATTGGAAAACCGAAACATTAAAAGATTAGATTGGCCGGTGATGTCACCTGACATGAACCCCAGAGAACACATCTGGGATTATGTATCAAGAGCCATTTTTCAATCGGAGTAATCCACGAAGAAATGCCCTAGGACTTATTGTTGCTGCTACAGAGGAATGGGAAAATATCCCTCAGAAAGAAATCAATAATTTAATTATTAGAATGCATAAACGTGTGAATGCGTTGTTAAGAAGTATATTTCTATTTTTGATGGATAATTTGTTGAAATTAAATCCAATTAGAAGATTTTTTTAAGCTTTTAATTAAGATTTAACACCAAGGTGTACACGGTGATACAAAACTTTAAAGTATTTTTGAATTCAATTCTATTTAGCTTTAGTAGCACCACAACAGTTTTGGTAATTTGAATTGGCCATTTGAATTTGTTATGAAAAGGTAATACTTAGGGAAATAGGAAAATTAATATCTCGATAGTGCAGAAAAAATGAGTGCCTTGGTTTTAGAAGTTCAGAATAAAAAAACTGCATGTAAAAAGAACTAAACCTTACTATAAGGAATAGCACCTTTAAGAAGCATCCAGATCGATGAATCTCTCAATATGGGCTTCTCCGAATAAACAATATAAGAACCAAGAAGATAACCTACTAATAAGACAAAGATGGATAACATCTGTAACTAGTGTTAAGCAAAGCTGAAACCTCATAAACAGACTGACACACACCCGAATTCAACTGGTCGACCAAAGAAGGAAACTGGGGTGCTTGAACATGGACCCAAACATAAAAGAGTAACAACTTCAATTAAATCGAGAAATAAACATGCAAATTGACACGACAAGAAGAAACAAGTATACGACATATGCGATAAAATAGAGCAAGATGTAAATTATGATATTCCAGAGATCCTTTTAACAAAATCAAATACTTGAAAGAGTTTCAGCTACGAACGAAGATTGTTTAACATGTTATTGGAAATACTGCAACGGATCCCAAAGTCATTGTCATTATCTGGAGGAAACACTGCTCAGATCTAGAGGCAGAAAATGATAGGGCTCTTCGAAATAATGTTGACCTAGAAACCTAGACCGGCAACCTAACATGCCAAATTTGAAATCCAAAGAGCTATAACAAGAGTCAAGAACAACACGGCTCCGGGAGCTGGTATCACCGCTGTGGGACTCAAGGCAGTAGAAACATGCCTTATCTCCGGAAATAGCCTAATGAATATATTCTATGTCTGCGACAGATCCTAGAGAAACCGAGGAACTACACTGTTTTTGTGTATGTTCAAACTAGAGATGGTCGGTATTTAACGTAACCGCTAAAATAACAATGTTCTAAACGTGTAACCTGAAACCGTAGTTACAGCTAGCCGATTTAACCGGTTTTCTAGGAACCGTCTTATAAAACTGAAATAACGGTGCGCACTTCGGACACCGTCGAGCGATCTATCCAGCTGCAGCCGTTTTCCGACTTAAACCGTTCTTTTTGGAACCGTTTTATAAAGCAGACAAAGTTGTGCGCACTTCGCACCAGCTGCAGCCGTTTCCCGATTTAAAGGTTGTTTTTGGAACCGTCTCATAAACCTGAAAAAATTGTTTGCGTCAGCACAGGCCCGATGCGGCATCGTTGAGCGCTCTATGCAGTTGCAGCAGTTGCTCATAGCTCATATGCAAGTGCACATGAGCTATGAGCAAACTCAGAGTCTAAGACATAAATTCCATCACAGTTGAAATACAAAATAACAAACGTTTTAAGCAGAATGTGCACCTGAACTTAAGCAAGCTGGCCATTTTTAAGCATAAATTTAGTCAGAGATGAAATGAAAGTTATTTAAATAGTAATAAACATTGTACGGTCGACATATTTTTTTAAATTACTTTTTGGTGGTACTAAAATTAACTCGAGTAATACTTCGTTCAGGTTTGCCAAAGACGCATTTCTGTTTGTTGTTTTTGGGGATTATTTAATGTTATTGTAAAACGAAATGCGAGAGATTATTTTCTAAAACGGGTGCTATTATAAACGGGCGAAAAACTAGAATCAGTAAAAAGCATCTGCAAAAAAATTGATTCTTAAATTTTAATTCATTTTTAAACGAAAATGAGATTTTTAAACATTTTCTCATATAAACCGTATATTTTATTTAGGCACTCTAGTTTTATTATTATCAGTTTTTTTGTTCTTTAAGTAGTTACCTCGGGCCTATGTTTTGTTTTCGAATTTATAATATTTTATTTTAAGTTTACCAATGTTAAGAATCATGTTTTTAATAAAGGAAATCATTATATATCATCACTATTTCTACTATCATCGTCATTCTGCATTTTTAATGAAAAATTTAAAAAGTGAAATTTTCCTTTTGGAACCGCATATTAAAACCTATTGCCCAGGCGAAACTGGAACGTTGTAACTCGTTCCTTAAAAATAACCGTTTATCTCACCTCTACTTCAAATAGTAAGTGCCAATGGTACAAGGACCGACCCTATCTCCTGTAGTGCAAAAGCGATCCCCCTCTAATTGTCAAAAGCCACGGGTGGGCGATCCCTGGATTTCAGAAATTGGCTTGAAAGATGGAAGAACTACTAATTGTCTACAAACATTGAACGGCATAAGGACATGGAAAGTCACGAGATGATCATATTAAAAATCCTTTTAGGACATCGCCAGTACATTGATCATGGTTATTGCACACTAAGCTGAAGTAGTTACCGATCACGCACTTAGGATATCAGGATCCGGCAGGGCAGGAGAAAAGGCCTCCCAGGTCGGCAACCAACGAATTTCTTGCCATTATTTCACTATTGATACTAAACACATAAGAAAAAAAGTGAGAAAAATTGTACTTCATGAGGCTTGGTTTTCTAAGCAGACTGGACCTAAAATCTGCGTTTTCTCTTGTACGCCCTCAAATATATTCGTTTTTCTTTGATGTCTTGACAAAATGTGTAAACATTTTTCCAAAGCTTCGCTGCAATATTGCTTGCTCTTAGAATTGCGAATGGACACTGTATATGACGTATAAACGTGTATGACATGTGTGCCTTCCCCTTTCCGATCCGGCACCGATCCGATTGTTTGGGAATCGACGGAAGGCACTCTGATCGGAGTCAGATCGGATAAATGTGTCCGGCCTTTATCCAAATTATCTGTCAAGAGGGAGATTTTACCATTAGGCCAGGAGAATTAAGACGAACTCTTCCAAATATGGCTCTAACCTGACGTAACTTAGATAACTATTGGAATCGCTCGGGAAATTGAAAATATCCAGTTGCTCCAGCCTGAAAAGGTGTGCTATTTGCATAGACAACAGAAACGAGAAAAAAATACGAAAATCGCGTTTTTTCCGGAAACAATCGCATATAACTTGGAAAGAAGTATGCATTTTAGAGAAAAATGTATAGATACTTTCCCCTAGACACGAGAGAGTTGGTCCGGTAT